TTACATCATTTGGCCACAAGGAGACAGTATTGTGTTATACAGCAGTATTGTGTTAATAATACCATAGTATATAATTTTTTTCACATGCTTTAGAGACAACACTCCAGCAGAACACCAAGATCACTGAGGAATTACTCAAAGGAGAGCTGCTGTTTAAAAGCTTGTGCTCTTTCTGTCTCTTTTTTTCCTGAACAAGAACCACCATAAGATGCTTTGATTAACATTTCCTAAAAAGTTTTTTGTACAAACATTTGCACTAGTCATCAACCAGAGAGCAAATAAATGAGTTCATGAAGACACCTGCATTGAATATATCTACTGCAGAGATTATTAAGATGTGTCTCTGAATCAGGGATCTGAGAATGTTAACACTAGATCAAGGATGATGACAAACAAAATGTTTTGCAATTACTAGAATTCAAGTTTGGAGAAGTCTATTACAAGCTTGCAAATGATAGGTTTGCATTCACCACAGGATTGGGGGTGCAGAGAGAAGAACTCTCTGCAAGCTCTATTCTCTGCAGCTTCCTATGTCCCCCAAAATTCTGGAGAACTGGGGGGAATCCTTTGGAATAGCTTTTCTCAACTGGGGTTCTGCAGAACCGCAAGAGATTGCTAGGGGTTCTGTGAGAATTCCTGATTTTTTTTTTATGAAAAAGTTTTAAATAACATTTTGTATTATGCAATGCTGGTGCTTGCAGTGGTTGAAATTTTTACGTGCCATGACTCAGCTGCTGACCTGCCATTTATGGATTGTATATGTTAGATGTGGATTCTATTGTGAAGTTTTTGTATTTTGGCCATTTTTGTACAAGTGTTCCTTGATACCTGAAAATGATTTCAATGATTTATTTACTTTGGCTTCTCCAGGGTAAAAATATGGGGAAAGGCTGTTAACAAACAGGGGAAATCATTAGCTCCAATTTCTTTGTGCTTTGTGCTTTCACAAACTGAATAAATCTGCTCATTCCCAGCTAAATCATTAATCAAATCCATCATGTTTCCTTTCCTCAGCTACTTGTCTGATGGATAAGAAAGGAATAGGCATGTCGATAGCTGAAATAGCACTTCCAAAGAACTGTTTCTTACGATGGCATTGAGATTATGCCAAGAAATCATTGCAAGTTACTGTGATTTAGGACTAGCCTAAAATGTTGTGAAATTGTAGAGCACTACAGTTAGATATAAGAATTATTGCAAGGAGGCACAATCAAGCAGCAGATATAGCTCTTAGTAGGCTTTACTCTATAAGTAAATGCTTCAAATCGTAGGTTTAGTTTTTTAAATATAAGGATATCAATACACATTAATGTTCAAATAATTTGCTAAGAAGAGATTAATGTATGTTTCTATTATATCAAATGCCTAGTAAGATCTCATTCTTGTAGACTTGGACAATTTGGGGATTTAATTTAAGAAACAACTTGATAACTTGTGTAGTCTATGAAGCAAAGTTATTTGATACATATAATATTTTGTAATTTTAAATCTTGGAAGGACAGTCATATCAATTGAGATATTTCTCTGACAAACCTCTATAATTTTATTAATCTGCAATAAATAAAAGGAAAAGGATAAAAAGGAGAAAAACATTCACATCCCAAGGTACTGCAAAAGAATTTACATGTCAGCAGGGCAAACTATGCAAGCAAATGATATAGCAAAGCATTAACAAAAAAAGTCTAATAAAGCTTGATAAGGTTGTGTATGATCTCTAGTTAACTTCTAATAAAACCAGCTGTGCTTGAATTCAAATCCACATATTAGATACTTAGTGGCAGAACCATATGCCTAGAGATCATCTCTTGTTATACATTAATGTAAAATGTGTGGCAAAATAGGTATTCTTTAAAACTCCTCAAATCAGGCATATTTTACCATTTAGGGATGGCTGAAAATGATACCATAAGCCTTTGCACATGTGAGAATACCCATTAAATCTCAAAAAGAAAAGTAAAGGAAAAAAATCTGAAAAATTCATTTTCACCCCTCACTAAAACCAATGATGTCATGATATCCATGGCTTTAGCTCTGAGCCAGAAACAAAGAGTGTACATAAAATAAAAAATAAAATAAAATCCTGCTATAATATCAAGGAAGATTACTGAAATTTTAATGAAATAGTCTTCATTATGAAGAGGGCAGTTTTGAGTCATAATTCTGGCAAGGATAGAAATGGAGCTGAAGAATTTATGTCTCTTTCCCTCTCTCCTTCTCTTATCTGTACACAGTATTACTTGTCTCCAATGCATTACCAAGAGACAGAAAGAGGAGAGAGAAAATGTATCACCTGAAAAATCTTGCACAAATATGGATCATGGCTATGACTGAAATAGGATTGAAATGTACCTCAACTTAATAAGATGACTATGAGTGATGTGCCTACTCAGTCTTCTGATCAAATGCGGCTATGGGGACAAGTACCCCCCCCATCATTCTTTCTCTCTTCTTAATTTTCTTTTTCTTTAAACTAATCTTGAATCAGTTTCACACTGCTCGTCTCCCTTGGTTCTCCTAGCAGTTTCTTAAGCCACCTCTTCCAGTGGATTGCAGTGAGTTGGCAACACAGCTGGACTGGTTCTTAATCTTAATCTGGACTATGACCATTATAACATCTGATTGTTCGTTTCTCTGCTTTGTGCCTTTCACATCCCTGCAGGGAAAGCAAGACTCACTGAATGGCTCCAATTGTGGCCTGATTTACCAGCCCCTGGTTTTTCTTCTTAAGAGATTGTTCCATCCTAATCAGGTAGTCTTTAAGTTAGCCAAGGATCCATCCTGATCCAAACCACTCCCAGTTTGGTCTCTCTCCGTCCAGAATCTCAGATCTTCCAAGATCATGGCTAACTCCCTATAGGGCAGGGGTGTCAAACTTGCAACGTGATGTATCATGATGTATCACGACTTTTTTGCCATTGCTGGCAATGGGGTGGGCGCGGTTTCACTATGATGCATCTGGCCTGTGGGATGGCAATTTGACTCCCCTGGTGTAGGGGAATTTGCCTCTATGATGCCTCACCAGTGCTTTCCAAAATACTCCTAATATGCAGAGGTTTGGGGTTCACTTTTAAACTGGGGAAGAGAGTTCTTGTGTCTGCATGCTCTGTGTTGATGATTCTGTGACTAATGAGTACAGTATAGGTTTTAATTGTGTTTGCTAATCGGGTTCCATGTGACTCTTTTTTAAAAGTCTTTTTCATTATTTGGGGAAGTGTCATTTTGCCTTATTCATGGGCTATTTCACAATGTTGTCAGTACTACCATTTTCTTACAGCACAGTTATCAGTTACAGGTGTAGAGGAGGATCAAGGATAATGCGGGAGGGAACAACCTAGTGCTCCTTACAGCCCCACTTCTGTGCTTGTGATCTTTGTTTGGACTATTTCTGAGCACAGATCTAATATTCTTAGTCTCTAATTACACATTGAAAAATAACTGAGCTGACTGGTCAACTTGCCCTGCTTCATGTTAGAAGGAACAGCAGATTATCATCTCTTACACCGACAGATAATGCTTGGTGGGAGAGAAAATTCTTTTCTTTAAGTGGCCCCATATTAAAATGGAAAGTGTTAAGTCCTTCGCGAAATGGCAATGATACGAGAAGCAGTTGTAGTTCTCAGGAACCTCTTTATTTCTGTTCAGCATACTGGTTACAAGACGCCGACAACGCCCAACTCTCCCTGCCCCTTTTCTAGGCGATTCCCGGGCCAAATTGCAACATTTGGCACGCTTGCACTCGCGCATGCGCGTGAGTGCTGGTGACAGCCAGTCTGGTCCCGGGCAGCTTGCACTTGCCCGGGACCGTTGCAATGCCCCGAGCCTGCTTTCACAGGCTAAGGACATAACAGAAAGATCTGTAACAGTCATTGGTTTCATTAATGAGAAAATCTGGCCACTGGCGCACACAATAGAGGCCCATGTATGTTTTCTGAAAACTCAAGGTTTGGACAATAACAGTTTTTTAAATACATAATTATATACAGAAACATAAACCTGCAGATACAAAACTAAACATCTAACTTAAAAATATTTATAGTCGCTTTCCTCATGAATCCATCAATTATGGTAGATTATATGGTAATATAATCCATAAACAGACTCCAGTCCTTATTAAAAACTCTATACATTTCTATGACTAGGCATGTCACTTTTGCCATCTCTGTTAAAAATAGTTAAATATCTCATTTTCAACATGTGGAGATTCTTTAGTTTTCCATTTCTGCACATGTAATCTTGCTGCAGTAATCTTATAGAACAGGGGTCTTCAAAGTTGGCCCTTTTATGACTTCTGGACTTCCACTCACAGAAATCCTCAGGCTTGAGGTGTGCCTAGCTGAGGAATTCTGGGAGTTGAAGTCCATAAATCATAAAAGGGCCAAGTTTGAAGACCCCTGATATAGAATAATAAGACACGGAGATTTAGTCAGTTCTTCTTCCATAAATCCTAATAAGTACAGTTCTGGTTCCATTTGCAAAGGGTTCCTATTATTTTCATCTATGTCCTGTGGATTAGGATAACATATCCTGTGCACGGCGAAGGGCTCTGGAAGAGAAGAAAAGGAGATTAAAAGTACCTAGAAAAAAAAAAAAAACAGGAGCAGAGGTACCTTACTATTGGAAGAAGGTTGTAAATAGCTTGGAATGGCTTCTCCAGGACTGGAGAGAGAACTGTGGGCACAAGTGATACATGAGAATAGGACATAAATGGGATGCTTTGAGGACATGTAAAAGGAGAGCACTTCCAAGTGCTAAATCCCCCTTAGTCTCTGGCTCTTGGATTCCTCAAAGAAGTCCTTAAACCACCAAAGCCCTGCATTCAGCAAGAAGAATTTTTGAACTATTAGCAAAACAAATTGACATATAATTCTCTCCATCTGTAAAAAAGCAAACATTTTTCTTGCTCTTTGCAGGCTTTTAGAACCCATCACGTGTATATACGCACACATACATCCATAAAGGGAAATGGATTTTTGATGAGATCAGCTATGATTTTAGGTAGTATGAAGAGACACATAGCTGAACCAATGGAAAAAGTGGAGGCTTTTAAAAAGAATGGCCTTTCTAATGAGAAATATTCCCATTCCCACACTCTTCTACCAAAAGTAGAGTATAACTTCCTTTCAATGTAACCATTTAAGGAAGGAGTGCAGATAATGTGGTCTAAAAGTCTCAGAGTGAATGAGGCCAGACAATTTAGCTTTTTAAAAGCAAGTTTTGAGGGCAAAATGAATGCCTTAGCTTACAGCAACCATTTTATCCCTTTATTTCCCTAGGTGAGTGTCTGCAAAGCCTGCTTTGGTCCTAAAGTCATGTACATTCCTGCTGTAAAATTTTAAAACAAACACAGAAGAAATTTCCATTAATAATCAATAAAGACAATTTTTCTTTTCTGTGAAAGAGGAAGGGGAAGTGAGTGATATTACACTTCTTCAACATTTGGTTTTTGAGGTAAATGATTTCAGCAGTTTCATAAGGAAAAAGGTTTTATGGGATGTTATTACTCTATTCAACTACACAATTATAATATTAGTAACAAATGCTGCCTACTCAGGCACTATATATGTATTTATTTCTTCCACATTTCTCTGAATCATTCATGTGAAAAGCATTCTCTTAGCTCAATCATGGAATAAACATTTCACCTAAATGTGGGTAAAAGACATACGGGAAGCTGAGCTGGAAGGAGCACAGAACAGCTGAGCCTCATCGTCATCTTGTAAAATGTTTTTTTTTCTTAATCTCTTTATATAGGATTAATACCATGAATGGCAGTTAAGAAGTACAGGTAGTCCTCAATTTACAACAGTTCATTTAGTGACTGTTCAAAGTTACAACATCCCTGAAAAAAATGATTTATGACCATTTTTCACACTTATGACCACTGCAGCATCCCCATGGTCATGTGATCAAAATTCAGATTCTTGGCAACTGACTCATATTTATGACGGTTGCAGTGTGCAGAAGTCATGTGATCACCTTTTGTGACCTTCTAACAAGCAAAGTCAATGGGGAAACCACTTAGCAACCGTGTTACAAATTTACCAACTACAATAATTCACTTAACAACTGTGGCAAGAAAAAAATCATAAAATGGAGCAAAACTCACTTAACAAATGTTTCACTTAGCAACATAAATTTTGGGCTCCATTGTAGTTGTAAGTTGAGGACTACCTTGTACCCTAAGAAATTCATAAGGATAGAGGATTGCTCTTTATTTCATGTCATAGGTCCAGTCAAAAGATATCTCTTCAAGCTGGTATTTATATTGTTTGCTTTTCAGGTGGGAAATTCTATTATAAACCAAACAGAAAGAATTGAACATTCCAGTTCTAATTTAGCTGTCACTGACTTAATAGAACATGTTGATTTCAATGAGAACACTATCAAGTTTAGTTTGACCCAAGGTTAAGAAATGGCTGGTTATTTGGATCATACTGGGGGCAAATATTTGGAGACTGTAAGCAGTTTTGGAATTTGAGAACATGTCATAACCTTCTAACAAAATGGTTGTCTTGGTAGGCTTGGCTAGTCACAAGAAATCAGACTCACCTTATTATCTCCCTTCTGCTGTAAAATCTCTGATATTGTTTTTGAGATATGGGCAACTAGAAAACAGTTAGGAAATTAAATAATAATAATAATTATTGCGTACTTGTGTTTATCATTGATCTCTTGCTAATGTCCAAAAACTGATTGAATTTTGCATTGGTATAATGCATTGAATGAACGGATATTTTAAATTTGGGAACATGATTTCTAAGTGAGCACAGTGCCATCAAAATATGCTCACTAATATCAAAATATTTATTTATCTAAATCATTTATATAGCCACCCATTTTATATCAAACTCTAAGCAGCTCCCAATCAGCAATTAGAACAATATCAATAATAAAACAACATATTGCATAAATATATTAAAGTAGGTAGCAATCAGATGATTAAGTTAACCACCATGATTCAGTGATAATTCCTAGTGACCAATCTCAGTATAGTGTAAAAATAAATATTCCCTAACTTCTGCTTTTTATGAATCTACTTTTGCAATACTAAGTGTAGTTTTAACAATATACTACTAGCACAAGGAAACAGACTGGCAGAGATCTTCTAGAATTATAATTATTAATATTAGGTTTAATATTCTTGGTACGATATTCAATCAGGGACAGGCACAAATGGAGGAAATGTTGTTATGTATTCTTATTTAGGATATACTGCAGATTGGATTAACAATTTAAATGAACAGTTAAAGTTATTTTTTTTTAAATTAACATTTTAAATTTAATTTAATAACTTGTTATCTAAACCCAGATTTTTTGGGTGGTTCTATCCCATTTTGTTGTTGGGTTTCAATTAATTTATTTTATTTTTTTAATCTTAAAATAAGATGAATATTTTCAGGATTGCTGACTGTTTCCAAAGGATCTGGGAACTTCTTCATAAAACTGGGTATGTGTAGTTTTTTAAAAAATATTTTAATTTATATACTATAATACCCTCTGTTGTGTTAACAAAGGAAACAAAAAAATGACATTGCTAGTAAGAACTAAACAAAGGAAACAAAAAAATGACATTGCTAGTAAGAACTATTCCATTGAAGAAAATATAGGTCTGTTAAACCTTATTTGAGAATGCTTTCATTAAAAAGATTTGGATAATATAGCGGAGAGTTGAATGGTTGTATTAACATAACCCATATTATTCTTAAGTTAGTGCAAATGAGTTTCAGTTTATTATTTGAAAAGATTACTTTGTAATTGTATATTATGTACAGAGGAGTGCAAAGTAACTGCACAAAGATTTCTTTTCAAACCTGTCTAAAAATAAGCATAGATTTAATAGTACAGTATCTGATTGTAACTGAATGGTTGCTTTACAATAGTATTTCTGTTTGACCAGCTAATTACAAACAATTTTGTTTTGGTATTTGCTAAGAGCTTATGGTGGCCAATGCATGCAATAGTATTATTTGTAATTGGGTAAAGTATTGGGCTAGATTGTAAGGAGACTCACATTTTAATCCAATTCAGCCATCGAAGCTCACTGGGTGACTTTGGACTCATCATTTTTTTTTTTGGCCTGACCTACCTCAAGGGTTGTTGTAAGGAAAAGTAGGAAAGGGAACACAATGTACATTGCTTAGAGCTCCAGAATGAAAGATGGAAAATGTAGGTAGTCCTCGACTTACAAGTGGTCACTTAGCAACTGTTCAAAGTTACACTGAACCTCCTTAGGGGTACTTATGACTCGGTTCCATATTTCTGTTAGCTGTGCCTCTCCCAGCAGTCATGTGACTGAATTTTACAACACGTTTGCCAAAAACCATCATGTATTTCTGGGTTGTTGTTTTTTGGGGTTTTTTTTTGGCAAAACCAGCCCATACCAAATGACTGCGACGTTCACTTAATGAAGGCAGTGTATGTTTTACGACCAGGCATTAACGCCCACTGTAAAAAAGATTGTAAAACCAGGTTGGTCACATAACCTGCATTATAATCATCATGACTTACAACCGTAAGGGGAAGGCTCCATTATGGTCATAAGTTGAGGACTACTTGTAAATCTAATATATAAATAAATTATGGCCTTACAAAACCATAAAATGTCAGTTCTTAGAGACACAAAGGAGTTCATGTTCAAAATATATGTTTTAAATTTAAACCTTCTCAGAATTCTCATTCAAACTTGAATGTGTGCATGTTTCTATGTAAAGAGACAGATGTGTGTGAGTGTAAATGGAATATGTGTATATATGTGTGTAAAACATTTTTTAGCAATTGAAACTACTTTATTCATTACTGGCACAGGTTGGGAATCTGGACCTACATTTGGGATATAAAATTCCTAAAGATACAAGAATTTATGGTGGATATCTGGCTTGCTTACTCCATACCATTACCATCCAGCCACAGCCAACTGTTATCCTTATTTGTGATCTGCTCCTGCATTGCAGCATCTGTCGGAGGCCTCTTCCACTGCTGGATGTTTTCGTCTCTGAAATATTCCTTCCAGTTTTCTGCCTGGGCATCCTCTGTCCTTAGTTTCCTGGTGTTCTTAATCCTCTTTTTGGTGCATCCAGTCCGGTGCCTGTTTACTATAATTGTGCCTACATTAGGGACGAGACAAGGGCGAAGGCTGCTGCTATCTGCCTGCTTTATGATAGTAGCTATCAACGTTATCCCAAATATTATGAACAATATTCAAGCAATCTTGAAAATCATTAAATGCACCTGCAAGAATTCCATGGACAGTCTTGTGACCTCAATGCTCCTGTTGGGTAATGCTTCCTGGGACTTCAGCCATTCTCTCAAAAGCATAATTGACAACATGCCAGATAAATTATTGAGTTCCAGGAACAGCCATGTTCAGTTTAAAAATCACAGTAATATCTTCCAACTCAATGAGAAAATGGTTAACAGTAGCCAAAGTATCCAGGAAGATTTTTTATATGCTGATAAGCTGGTCCAGAAGATCATACTCTTGACCAACCGGGTGACAGCTGGGTTTTTTCTCTTCTATCTCCTTTTCCAAGCAACATGGTACCTGAAGAGTTATCTTACAGATATTTGTTTTGATAATATTTACATCACCCCAAAGCTGGAAGATCTGGCTCACAAAAACAAAACAACTGATTTGCTGATTTCCACATCCAGGAAGTTAATTAAACCAACCAGCTTCAAATTGTCCCAAAAAGAACTCAAGGCTTCTCTCAGACACGTTTTTCTTCTCACATTAGTCCTGGTGGTGATGCTGCTTGTCATAGCAACTGATTACATTGCCTTTTATTTGGCACAAACAGCTGTAACTGAAGTCACTCAGATCCCTGTTGTCCCAGTTACTTTCTGGATAAAATATGAAGTGAGTACTGAAGTCTCTAGTTTGGGCTTAAAATCAGCCTCTTTCAGCCTGGAACTTTTCAGATAAGATGGTGTTGCAACCTCCAAGATTTCAAATGAAATAGCACTTGTCAATGCATGTCAAATGAATGTTTCTTGATTCACTATGGAATTTTAATAATATAGGCAACAAAACAGCATAGCTGAGCCCATAGGACAGAAGGCTTAAGATCTCAAGCATCAAACACTATTATTTTCAGGAAGAACTTCATTTGGCTTCCTTCCCCTAATTCCTGTGTATGATACAGGCAAAGTTTTCACAACCTGTGCTGCATTTCTGGCAATTATAATGTAAAAACAAAAACAAACGTATCAAACAAACAAATCAACAAACCAAGTAGTAATTTCAATTTCCTAGTTTCCCCTCCAAAGATAAACAAATCTCATAAGAGATAAACAAAATCAAATTTGATTAGAAAAAGATAAATGGTGAAAATGTTAAATGTACACAGTACAAATATTCAGGTCTAAAATATTCAGGTACATTGCAAAAGACAATGTAATGTTCTGATGTATGATGTATGATTTTTTTTCCTTTGAGGTAGCCTTTACATTTTTAATTAATAATTCATTTTATTGTTTCAGATCAAACTAAGTTTTGTTGGTTTGCAACCTTCCCTAATGGTTCCATTTGAGAGAAATTACCATCAGAACCTGACTTTTGTTACTTCTAACTGCTTCATGCAAAAACCAAATCCTCCCAACACAGCTTTGGTTCTGGCTGTTGCGCTTCTCTTTTGCATCATTTATGCTACGGTATTTTTGGAAGCATACTCACACCGTCTGTGCCGAAAAATTTCAGCCTCCTTTTTTGAGAACCAGGAAAACCAGAGAATCCAGTACCTCTACAAGAAGCTCATTAGAAAGAACAAGAAAAAAGAGCAACAGGAGGCATCAGTACTTTGTTGAATGCTATTTTTCAAGAGCAATTTGCACCATTGTGGAACTAGCAATAATTAAAGCCGATATTGTATAATCACAGTTCTAAAGGAAAAAAGCAATAGAGGACAATATAGAAACTGGATGATACACAACTCAAAGGAGTTTAAATATACAGATTTATCATAAAATAAAAATGTCTCATTTGAACCAAGCACAACTCCTGATGATTACATAGGCATAGACATATGCATTTATTTATGTTTATTATGTTTTTAGAGCTGCCTAACTTGCAACATCTCTGGACAGGATACAGATTTAAAAAAAACCCTAATATAAAAGATGAAAGATGTCAGTAACCAGAGAACCAAGATAACCTGCACAGTCACCAACATAAATAGCACAATTGCTTTTCAGAACATAAACTCCAGGTAAGTCGCAGCCTGAGGGGAGGGGGGGAAACAGGTTTTCAAGGTCCACGTAAAGGACAGGAGGGCAAGGCTATTTAAAAATCTGGGGAAGACAATTCCAGATGCACATTAAAAAGGAGTAGGGCCTTGATTGTGAGGTTTGCTGCCCTCTTGATTTTCTTTATACCCTCCCCCTCCCCCTTCATGGATATTCCTGATTTACAGTATAGTTTCTGCATTACTTCCTGCCTCAAAACATCAGAAAACTATAATACCTAAAACCTTTGGCAATCATGGTAGCAAGAGTTACAACAAGTGCAAAGAAAAGAGGGGGGGGGAGAGAGAGAGATTGGTGGCTACTTGCAACCCTTAGGCTTTATTGGTTAATTAGTATTAGATGTGGATGGTGTCTCACTCCCAAAAGAGTGTCTTACAATACACAATGAGAAACCAAACAATAAAAACACACATGTACAGTATCCAGAAAACAGCCAAACCTATGAGAAACCAGAATCCAACATTGGCTTTGTGCCCATTCTAATCCTAGGCCTGGAAGCTCAGTCACATTTCTAACAATGTCTGCAAGAACTGTAGGGCAGGAACCATATGAATTTCTGGAGGAGATGCTCTTATAGAGGGCTGCTCAGTGCTCACTTACATTAATACGTTTGGTCATGCCAATGGTTCTCTTTCTTGCAGTTCTTCAAATATTGTTGCAAGCCCAGCAGCGATCAATTTCCAACACCTCCAGTCTCAGGGATGGGTTTGGGGCAGTGGAGAGTTGGCATGGAGGCCTTAGTCAACAGGAATTGATGAAATGTTCTTCTTATTTAATGTTTCTCTTGACATTTCTATGGGCATGTCACTGCCTGCCATTCTTTTCTTAAGCCCATTTGCAGGAGGGGAGAACTGTATGCCTGGTGTTTTTTGCTCTGCCTCTTGAAGCTGACTAATTCTACCCACGTTAAAACAAATAAACAAAAAACATCCAACTCTGTGTGTAACATCCACAGCAAAGTTCACAGAAACTACAGTACTGGAAAAATTACCCTCCCTGACCCAGACATACAAAATAACATACTTCTTGCTAAATTAAGAAGGGATTCAACTCAAATGCAGCCCACAGTTTTTGTTTGTTTGAAAATATGTGATTAAACTTCATTCTCCTCAGAGCTTTATTTATTTTCTTTTATGTTAAATTCCACCTCCAAAATGGCACCAGTATTAATTATATCTTGGCTTGCTTAAAAATTCCACACTAATCTGCTAGAGCTAAAAAGGATGATAGTAATTATATCTATGCATGAAACTTACAGATACAAACTCTAAGGGACTCTATAATCCACAATCTATATCTCTACACAGTTTCATATATCTGAACTCAAAGGGGAGTTACATTAGCCACTAAACATCTGCTGAGCTGAATGTGATTCAGCATTCCTGCACTCTTCTTTCCGGTAATAGGGATCAGTTCCAGAAAATATTTATTTGAAGCATTTATAAGCAAACATTAAGAGTATAATCTCCTTCAATATAGTTTGTTATATAAAAAAGGAAAAGAAAATTGAGGGAGAAAAGATTGATACACCCACTTCTTCTATTCATAGTAATCCTAAAAGGACTCTTATTCTTAATTATGCAACAGCAAGATTACTAAAAAGGGGAACAAGAATTCAGTCTCTCCACCTACCCAGTTTTGCAGATATTTTGTTGTTTATTAATTTATCAAATTTAGAAACCACCCATCTCATTGATGTTGCTGATGTTTGCAATCTTTCAAACAGCTAAGTATAGCTGCACAGATGATGGGCTTGATTTATCTGTGCGTCCTTGGTGTTCTCTGAGGTTGGTTGTTTGCTTTCAGATATTTGATTACCCAGATAAATAACATCATCTGTGACATGCTGGCTGGGGAATACTAGGAGCTGAAGTCCGCTCATCTTAAAGTACTGATCTATATATAGAACACAAATAATCTATGGCATTTTCACCCCCAACTCTTTATTTATTTGACTCTGAAATTGAAAAATACTCTCCCCCCATCTCCTTCTCTTCCTGGTCATCTTTTCAGATTTTTTAATCTTTTCAAATTTTTTCTATAGTGTTATAAGTGTTATGGGATTGAAGTATTTTCATTGCATAATCATGATGCCCAATGGTGATATTCATATTAAGCAATAAGGAGAATGCTTTGCAACCTAAAAGCATATTCAGAGAATATCCTACCTAACCACATGCTATCTATTTCAATCCCTAGAGAATTTCAAGATGTATGACTCACACTTGTTATCTGGATAGTTTGGCATTTTGAAAAACAAGGTTATACTTGTGTCTCTGTAGCAGCTATGCATCTCTTTGAGAGCTGACAATACTTAAGGCTTCTGTTAGCTTTGGAAGGATGGCTTGGAAAAGTGCATGTTGACATTCCCCAACTGAAAAACAACAACAACAACCACAAAAGTGTGATAAGCATTTCTAGCATCCAAACACAGCAGCAATACGATGCATGTTCATTGTGATTTTCACATTATGTTTTATTCAATATTCATCAGCTCATGCCTGTCACAATAGAGCATTTTGGTAACAGTTAGAAAAGCTTATTTTGGAACAAACAAGATTTTAATTAAAACACAGAGAAGCGGGTTATGATTTTATTATTATTATCAACTTGAATATACTTTAAGAAAGCCAAGCGCTTATTTAAATGTAAATTTTGACTGGAGACAATGATGTATTTTAAGTGTCTGATTCACAGGGGCTTTATTATTATAAAGAATCATTTCTTCCATGCCATTATTGTTTGCATAGGAAATTAAGCTAGGATGCAAATGAGAGAATGCAAAAAATGGAACTGACAATAAAATGAAGGGTTTAAGCCAATTATTATACTATTTTCATTAATCTTTTTTCTTGACATGGGTTATGTAGTGCTTTGCCACCAAAATCACAATACTGTCAGAACAAAACCACCAACAGCTTATGCAGTAAGGCAGTATTTGCATATCAACTAAAACTGTTTTGGAGTGGAGAAAACAGAAAACAGTAAAATGCAATCTTAGTCTTCAGAGGGTGATAAAGTGCTCTGCAGTAGGGGAAAGTATTAAAAAGAAATTTGTTTGGTTTGCCCTTGAACATGAACTTACCTAATTTATACTTTGAAACAAATTACATGAACTGAAACAAAAAAACCTTATAAAATTACACTATTCTTAATTTTTCAGTTGTTATTAGTTGTGAAGTCGTGTCTGACCCATTGCGACCCCATGAACAATGTTCCTCCAGGCCTTCCTGTCCTCTACCATCTTCTGGAGTCCATTTAAGCTCATACCTACTGCTTCAGAGACTCCATCCAGCCACCTCATTCTCTGTCGTCCCTTTCTTCTATTGCCCTCAATCTTTCCCAGCATTAAGCTCTTCTCCACTGAGTCCTTCCTTCTCATTTTTCAGTATAACTACTTAATAAAAAAAAAAAAAATCTGAAAATATGTTTACTCGAAGAAAGTGTGCATATATAACCAAATCTGTAAATTAATTGAAATGATTTTTTACATCACCACAATGTAAAAAAGATGCTGAGACTCTAGAAAGAGTACAGAGAAGAGCAACAAAGATGATTACGGGACTGGAGGCTAAAACATATAAGGAACGGTTGCTGGAATTGGGTATGTCTAGTTTAATGAAGAGAAGGACAAGGGGGGGACATGATAGCAGTATTCCAGTATCTCAGGGGCTGCCACAAAGAAGAAGGAGTCAAGCTATTTTCCAAGGCACCTGAAGGCAGGACAAGAAGCAATGGATGGAAACTAACCAAGGAGAGAAGCAACCTAGAACTAAGGAGAAACTTCCTGACAGTTAGAACAATTAACTAGTGGAACAACCTGCCTCCACAAGCAGTGAATGCTCCAACATTGGAAGTTTTTAAGAAGAGATTGGACAACCATTTGTCTGAAATGGTATAGAGTTTCCTTCCTGAGCAGGGGGTTGGACTAGATGATCTCTAAAGTCGCGTCCAACTTTATTATTATTATTATTATTATTGTTGTTGTTGTTGTTGTTGTTATTATTATCAGTGCTTTTTTTCTAAAAAAAAGTGCCGGAACTCTCACACGTCATACAAACCACCTTGCCTACCCTACAAGGTTCCATAGAACGTTCTAGGCGTTTTGTGAGAAAAAACCCTGATTATTATTATTACTATTATTATTACTATTATTATTATTATCGATCATCGCACAGTCAGCCAGATGTTCAGACTGGATTTGGCATTTTGTCTACCTATCGAGTCCTTACCCAGGACCTGGGATAGGCAGATGTGGATGTTTGACGGTATTACAGATATCGTCACAGGATGGCAGCAGTTCCTAATAAGGCCGCCTTTTGCAGTTGACTAATAGTGTCCAACTTTATTATTATTATTATTATTATTATTATTATTATTATTATTATTGTTGTTGTTGTTGTTGTTGTTGTTGTTGTTATTATTATCAGTGCTTTTTTTCTAAAAAAAGTGCCGGAACTCTCACACGTCATACAAACCACCTTGCCTACCCTACAAGGTTCCATAGAACGTTCTAGGCGTTCTATGAGAAAAAACCTGATTATTATTACTATTATTATTACTATTATTATTATTATTATTATTTACATTAGAGAACATTCCAAATAAAATGTGTAAGTGGCATTTGATACAAAAGGCAACTGCATGTAACTGTAGGTGAAGGTGTATATGTATTATCACATATACTTTTACATGTCTATGGAGATTCTTAGTCTTTCAGGTCATGGTTGTCCCAAAGATGCATTTTCATGAAGCAACTGGACTTTCTTTTTTACCTCTGAAGACATTTTGCTTCTCATCCAAGAAGCTTCATCAGCTCTGACTGGATGGTGGGAATGTAACTTTAAGACTAAAAACATGGAAAACTGAAATAAATCAGCCATGAC